AAAAAAAAAAGGGTTAAACGGCATGGAGTCAGGTACTTAAATCCGCCGGAGCTTAAGCCGGTTTCTCCCGTTTAGCATCAAGTGACCAACTAGGAGTGTCACTACTCCCTCAGGGCTACTCTTTCGCCCCTCACAAGTATTGGATTTACAGGTAACCCCAATTTATACTCTTGGCCACTCTTGGGTTAGTTGAAGAGAGGCACTGAGGGTGATGACGTCAGTTTGAAAGTAAACTGAACTATTCTTTTTCCGTGTCGTTATAAGAGCTCCTTCTGTTTAAGTACCCCCTGTCCAATCTCGGAAGTAACAGTGAAGATGTTCAATTAGGTAGTCTGCATTCTTATGTTAGAGTAATATTGAACATATTGTCTTTGGATAAGCACTAGCATGATAAGAATGGAGTCATTACTCAGAAAACGCCTAGTTCTTGAATTCTACTATCTATCGTTGTTCATCAAAAAGCTTTTTCGCATCTGATGTTTATGCCAAAAAATAAAGAAAATAAGTGCCCTCTCTCAGCTACTGAAAGTAAATAAGTGCCCTGGGAACCAAATTATCCAGTCACCGTACAAGAGGGGATGAATTATCTGCACACCACAGAGATCAAAAGTGCGCGCCTTATTAATTGTTCTTCATGGATTTGCGTTTCAGAGAAGTAACTCTATGTGAAGATGAGCGAGTGATGCGAGGAATGAGCGAGAGGCCCTCCAACGTGTGCCACCTCCCCGCCCCTCCCCCTGACAAGAAATAAAAACTTCCGCGTTATATCTTTGCCTCTTCAGTTACAACCATCGAGGACTCCGGGACGATATTGCTACACTGCAATCTACACGAATAATCACAACGCTATTTCCGGTTTTTATCACCTTTAACTTGATTAAATTTGAAGCGTTATGTGCGATACGTCTGTAGGAAAATTTGAATTAAAAAAAAAAAAATTCACTAACAGTTTTATATTTCAGAAACTCCATTGTATGTGACTCATAGCCTTAATTTACCAAATAGTTGCCGTTCAATCTAGAAATGCTTCTCGGGTACAGTAATACTTCATCTAAAATATAAATCTTTTTGGATTGAAAATCTACTGACTAACGAACTGTCGCTAAGCAACAAGACTACTGAGTTAGAGGATGAAGAAAACAGGCAAGTAAAAGGCTTGTCACCGTTTGCGTTAACTTCCCCTGCAGTTTACTCTCTTAAATGGTTGATGACCTCTCTTTTAATTCTTTTCATGGATCACTCAGTCCTTTCCTAATTTTCTGCATTTATTAATAAAAAAAGTAAACAGAAAAAATCTGTACCGTGAGAAGTTACAAATATTTCGCTTTTTCTGCTCTCGTGCCACCGAAGTTTTCTTCTGGACGGGCAAGACCAATGTGGATTATTTCCAAGGCCTACTCTTCCACAAAGAACGATATCAGCTGCAAACGTTTTAACCAATGAATTAGTTTTGTTGAACCGAGAGTGTTCATCTGATCTAAATTTCCCTTATGTAGCTTCTTTTATTGCTGATAGTTGTAAATTATTATCGTCTCAAAATAACGATGTCTTCTAAAACGCATGGTCTGTATTGCGGGTTATCTCAAAATGAGCACGGTGACCCCCGTTTTCTTTTTTTTTGTTTTTTGCTTTTTTGGCAAAAGTTGATGTTTACATTATACTACCACGGCATGGCAAATTTAAAAAAAAATCTGTATACGTGAGAATATTTTGGTCGCGTCCTTATCCACTTTCCCTGTTGTGTATGTGTTTGAGGTTTTTTTCATTACCTGCCTTACGGGGCAACTTACATTTGTCGGAAGAATCTAGATCAAGAAAATTAATGTAACAAAAGGAAGGATGGGAGGTTTAAGTTTCAGTTAATTAGCTTCAAATTTGGCTGGGGATCTTTTTATAATTGAATTCCGAGAACTTCAAGTTTCTTTATTTCGATACACAACAAAATACGGATAAACAGAGATTTGAAAAATGTGGAGGTTTGTGAACGAGAACCTGCTGAGTCGAAAAGAGTTCATACACCTAATCTAATATTTAGCAGAAAATATTTTGGTTAAATTTAGCCCATTCAACTGGCGAACAGACATCTACCGAAGCTAGTTTCGTGGAAAAACAAGAAGTTAGATAAATTAAAGTAAATGGATAAAAAACATTAAAAAGACTCGACAGAAAACATTCAAAGTTGAGGCAGAGATTATTAGCCAGTACAAAAGGTACATAGTGATTTATGAACTTCTTGCAGAACTGTCTTATCCCTAGCTCTTTGAACCGCTTTCTCCTCTCTTACGTAACATTACGTTCAGATCGCATGTCGTAAACATTTGATATTGCATACCATAGTAAGTTCTGTCACGAACTCAAATACGTCACGGGTCATGCCATTTCCTTATGTGTTTAGACTTTGACGTCACTCCTTATGTACGTCACAGGTTAAATGAAGTTCTAATGATTGCGAAACACGACGAAGTATGCTCAAAATGTTAATAACTGCATCTTTTTCAGTTGTCTTTTTCCGGTGTCGAACATCATAAATGACATGGCTGTCTATAGTGTAACAAAGTTAAGAAATAAAGCTTTTTTTTTTTTTTTTTTGCAATGAGGAAGAATTTTCGCTGAGCGAGGGCTGCTGAGGCAGTTTCTTGGTGTATTGACCTCTGTGTAAATATGTTATTAAAGTCAACAGAAAACCGTTCTCCACGGTTTATTCAACAAAATTTGTAAACGTTTAAATATACTGCGAAAAATGCATTTTGTGATTAATTTTCCGCGTCTAACAGAACAACGTTCCAAAGGGTGAGGGTGTGATGCTCACTGATATCCAGAAGCTTGCTAGCCAAAACAAATAGGATCAGCTTTCTATCGATTTCTAAACGTTATCTTGCCCACGTCTTGGCCCTTGAGGCACATAACTCAACGTATTTTACAAACACAGGGGTGTGTACCCTGCGCCGGTTCCGTGAGCTTCCGTGATGTAACGTGCGAAAAATACCATAGCATCGTCATAATATTGCTCACGTGCGAACATTTTTCTCACGGGTAGAGAGGGGAGAAGTCCCACTAAACAAACGGCATTATGGGTATGGAAACGGCTTTGACAATTTCAGCACCTTCGCAAAATTGAAGCAGACGATAGCATTCTTGTTTTGGCCTAAAACATAAGGCTGAAGTTGTTTTCCGTACTTTCTGACGAGTAATGGTCAGTTGATATAGCTGTGGGGGTGTGACATTTTCGTCAAAATAGTGCTTGGCCCCAAAAGGTCACGAGTGTTGTATCCGCCTGACTTCAAGATCCGCAGCCAAACGGAACATCTCATTTAGCGGCTGATTCTTCGCGGACATTTGGAAGAATTCCCTCTATTTCTTGGTCAAATTGTGGTTTAAGTTTTTCTCTTCAAGGTGAGTTCTGTACTTAGCGTGTTACGATCGTGTTCAGATGATAAAGCTGGAGAGATCTGCATGTTAATTTTGTGTATAAACATATTAACGATTCAAGCTTCCTGTATACCTGTGTATACTGTATTTGCTGGTGTCTGAAAGTCAGGAACATGAAAGATTTGTCGGCGAAAATAGGTGCTTACTTTATTCTTTAACTTTGGGTTTAAATGAGTGACGAAAAACTGCTCGAAATTCATGTTGCCTTCACCATAAAATGCCATTGAGCGAGGCCATTAGTCGTCTCGAATTGTCGACAGACTTTCGTTAGTGAGTACGAAGTTCAAGTCAGTTTTCAGTTCTAAGCTTAATTTGAAGTATCTCGCGTATTTTGGGCTCATATTTAGGGGGCAAAGACTCATGGAGAGCATGCTAAGCCTTAAAAATTTAACTTGAATTTACATCGAACTGAAGTCCAATATCTAAAATACTTGTAAGCCTGCTTTATGTACATGTAGCAAAGCTCCCCTTTGAGAAATATTGAATTCACCACCATGTGGATTACACAACATGTCAAGATATTAGCATGTCTGCACCTTTACGCACGCATCGTTGACAGCTATACCAAAAATAGGCATTTACCGCGTTTTCTGTCGGTATAAAATAGTAGAAGAGTAGATCCAATTTTGACAATTTGTGGAAACACCAGGTATAAGGATCATGGTAGGTAGATGTGGGCGTTTTTCGAATAAGCTCTGATCAACCCGTGTAGTGGGTTGACGGTTATTGGCCTAGCTTATTATGACAAGCAATTGATGTACGAACCTTTTTTTTTCCGAGTACCTAATGTTTCTTCAACTTAATATCTTAAGAACCAGGTTTTACTCTTGTTATCAAGATGGTTCATGGAACTTTACTGAAAGTTTGAATCAATGGTATGATGTAATGTGCCTTACAATGTGGTTTGGTATTCAGCTTAGTCAATTATTGAGAATTTAATTGAAGCAGCTGAAACATTAGCCAGAAGAAAAATACCCTTGTTAACACATATAAGCATTGATTACAAATATTCTGTAATCCTTGTCCAAGATAAGTGCGACAGGATGTTGCACTGGTAATTAATGGCTCTTAAAATACTAAATTGAAATTGCCAGTCAGTCTGGCTATGTAATTTAGGTTTTTTCAATGGATGTGCTTAGGTACCACCATGTATCAGCATTTTTCTGTCTATGCTGATTATGCTATCCCAAAAAGGGAACAATATTCTGTTATTAGACTAAAATTATCAGGAGAAAATTTTGACTGACAAGTTCAACTGCTTGTGGTGTCTAAAAACACACTTACAGATGAATCCTGCATAAATTCAGAAATGGGAACTTCAGTGTGTACAATCCTAGAACGTTGAAATATGAAGGTCTGACAAGAATTTTATGCTTGAAAATCTTTCCGACTCTTAGAAGGCCATGCAAACCACCAATGTGGGAAAAGCTCAAGTTGTTGTCTGTGGAAAATTTTCAAGAGTGACTTGAAATTTGATGAGTGTATGGGAAAATCAAAGAGCAAAGAAAGGAACTTAGGGAAAGCACAAATTTTGGGTAATTTGCTAGTGAAACTGGGAAACAGCTGCTATGGAAAAGAGCCCTTTAATATAGAAACCATTTACAATTTGTCTGTGAATATACAGGAATTATTACACACATACAAATATAAATTAAGTCTTAAACTATCATTATTATCAAGTGACAGTGAGTTATTTTGTGACTTTGTGATTGGCCTTTGTGTGACCCACATGTACATGTATGAATCTGTAAATCATGATTGAAGCATAAATAATTCTATTTAACATTTATAGAGTACTTTTTCGAGAAATGTGAACACAAATTTTCATTTTCAACACTTTTTTTTGACTTGGTGATAAGATTCCCCATCCCCACCTTCCTCTTAACTCTCCTAAAAAATGTTTAGGTGCATTAAGTTAGAAGATACTGCTCTTGTGCGAGGTGCAGTAATTCTTATACTCTGCTTTCAATATCAGCTTAAGGAAAGGTTGTTAAGAAAGAATTCTCAAGCCTAAGGGGTAGACCCAGATCTTTCAAGAATAGAATAAACTTAATCAAGGGTGAACTGATTAACAGATGCATTTGCAAGATAACAATAATTTGATCCCTTTAGCAACTTATAAAGTTGTGTGATTACATCATGATTTTCATACTTTGAAATGAACAATTGATCAAGGTTCCGTTTCCCAGGTTACTGAAGTTACCTTTTTTTTTTTGGCTGCAAGCACTTTTGATTACGTTGATTATAGTGATTTCTTTAATGGAGTCAATCCCACAAGGTTTCCTGTCAGTAACGTGCACTTGACAACATATATTTGTGTTCTAGAATGTACTTCACTTGTTCAAAAGCAATCTATGATTTACATGACAATACAAATGTCAGAATTCTAGAATTCTTGAGCTAAAATCAGATTTTCATGAGTTTGTAATATAACTAGAAATTTGAGGCTCAACATTCCATTTGTTACAGTACCTTGATGATAGAAAATTGGCTCATTTAATTGTGTTCTTCTCTTTTTAGACCACAATGGCTGCTCAGGCAGTAGAACTTTCCCATCTGGGCAAGGCAAACATAGCGCATCCTGATTTCAAAAGGCTGCATTCTGAGGAAGGTGCTGCTGTGAAAAGGCCTAAGACAAATACTGCTATCAAGAAATCCATTTCATGGGGAAACAGATCTGATTATGTTGGAACGCTTCCCCACCAACGTGAGTAAAAATTGCTTCATTATACTGCACTTTGACAAATGTAAACAGTATCTAGTGATGTGTGAGCCAAAGAGAATAACAGGAAACAATGTACGTTAATTTTGTACATGTCAAACAATCATAAAAAGGCATTATCTCTCGAACAATTGCAAGAATCAAAACCAACAAATCTGTTATAAAGCATTAGTACTAACAGAGGCTTCTAATCATTTAGTTGTTCTGAACATCCACTAATGGAAAATATTTGGCCATGTTTGTTCCGTTGAAGGTCTCTTCAACAATTTTAACTCATAGTCTTACATGTACAAATGAACTTCCACTATCAAACACCTCCTGAAGGCAGACACTTAAGTGTAGTAATGGTTCCAGCCACATACAAGTCAGTGTTCCAGATAAGTGAGGGGTCTCAGTTCTAAACCCCAACAAGGTCAGCTACATGACCCGACAAAGTAATAGAAAATTTATAATGAATTGGTGGGAATAGTGGGAATTGACTTGTTGGAATTCATTATTGACACCCTGCACTGAAAAAATTATCTGGAATGCCGATACAAGCACTGCATTTTAAACCTGTTGACTTTTCTTTCAGCATTGACTGTGGCTGTATTCTTAGTGGAAAAGTCTGGCCGTCTGTTGAATCTTGAGGAAGGAAAGAATACTGTCGCAGGAACTATCAATACAATCATGTCAGAAAATCTGTCTCTTCCTCCTGTAGCCTCGCAGGTTTTCTGTGTGTGGCTTATTTCACCTCTCTTACGTAAGTACATGTAGATACAAAACTATGTTATACATCTGATAAAAAATAATATGATTTGAAAGAGTTAACTATCAAGTCTGACAGTATATTATTATGCCAAGTCCTCAAGGACATTACTTAAACTTGAAAGAATGACAAGGTGCCTTTAATTTCATGTATCTATTAACCTAATCTAATTCTAATGTAGTTTGACTTGCAGACTTTTTGTCAGGTATCTTATATTGCTTTGACTGTGTTGTTCTATTGCAGAGCTTCAGTTGAAGGCTCATCACAGGCCGTTTAGATTACGTAAGGTGTGGACAGAGTTACTCAAGAAGTTTACCAATACACCTGAAGAGGTGGCTGAAAAAGGTGTGTAACTGTTGCACTTTTTTCTTGTAGGGATACATTCTGATTTTATTTCTCTCTGACCTAACTGGTTGGAATTTTATTACCCTACAATGATCACTAATTTTTACCATTGACAATTTCTTCTTTCTTCAGATGAGCCAATTCTGTCTTACCAGAGGAATTCATTTTTTCCCCTTGCAGAGGAAAAGAGAGTAAGTAACAATTACTACCAATTCATAATTTTTATTCTGTTGAATTAAATAAAGAAATATAATTTGTTTTAAGATTATGTGGTAATTTCTAAAATACATGTTGTGCTGTTTTTGTTACTTTATTTCAGTCCTATCTTTTGGACTGCAGTAGCACTGAAACGAAATGATCAAAAATTATAATTTGTTAATTGTTATTATTAGATTACATACCTGTAATTGTTATCTGAATACATGAGTATGAAGCAACATAAGTGAGTACTTAATTGCTCTCTTTTCATGCAGATAAGGGATGACAGAATTATCAGAAGATTGTTTGAAGAGGTAACTAGTGTGTTTGTCATGGGTTTAATTTAGTTTTTAATTTTGCATTGAACCCTGCACGATTTGCTAGTGAAATACATGGCTTTATCATAATAGTAGTTCTATGTTACATGAAAAACCAATAAAAAGACAGATGAGTATGACATGACTAAGGAGGAGTTGTGGCGTTGTAGTTAGTGCACTGGATTCTACATTGAGAAGTCAGGGTTGTAGCTCTGGTTGGGGTAATATTATTGTGTTATGCTCTTGGGTAAGACACTTAACTCTCACAGTGCGTCTCTCCACAACAGTATACAAATTTCAAAAGGTGACTAGGAAGCTCAGATTTAGAGGTCATAAAAAATTCAACAACTCATTTTTATTCAAAATTCCTGGGATAGCTTGATAGCCAGTTTTATAAGATTTAATTTGATATGAGGGTTTAGTTATCTGTAGTTTAAACCAGACGTGCTGCATGTACATATCTTGAATGCAAGACACCACTAATAAAAAGCTTGAAAAAGGATGATCAGTTTTAGGTAGGCATCACAACACACATGCACAGTATTCAACTGATGTGTGTTTGTTGTCAAATACATGATCCCCTCGATTTCTTTTTCTTTTACTTTGAACACTCTCTTGTTTCATTCTTTTTTTCCAGGCTAAATACAATGTTTTGAGTGGAAACTATCCTATAAGCACAAAAGATGCTCTGACACTGGGAGGTATTCTTGCTTTCATTGAAAATGGCATTTTTGATCCTGAAGTACACACGTCTGGTGCTTTCAAGTAAGTTTTTATCTTTATTGTTGTCAGCTTCTGACATACAATTATTATGTTACATCATGGCTCTAAATACAGTGTTCAAATCATGTGCATTACTTTTGTTGTGTTTTTAAAGGTTAGGGTTAGAGGCTGGGAAGGACTGAGTCCAAACTTTCCAACTCTTTCTTTTCTTGTCACATTTATGCGTGGGTACCACCCACCCTAGTGTGGCCCTTCTTTTTGTGCTTTATCAGTTGCAAAATATTCTGTTATCTTTCACTATTTTTCTTACATTTTTGTGTAGTTACCAACATCTTGAGAACACTGCTTTTTGCCCTTTCCATCCTCATGAACTTTTATCCCATTTACTCCCACTCAATCCTTCTTTGAAAGCTCTCAAAGTGCAAAGTTAATGTATGTGTAGCACAAAGCATGAGAATTAAAGATGAATGGTATCTGACGAGTAATCTGCAAACGGTTAATACACATAACATGGAATAGTTTACATGGCCTCAGTAGACAATCATTATTTTAGTGTCATCGTTTAATTTCCTCTGTATTGAATCAACAACAGCAATGACAATGTTAAAAATTTTGCTCCATAATGAGACACAATCTGTTTTTTGTAGGAGCAAGTTGACGGATTACCTACCAGCTTGGGTGTGCAAATCCACATGGTCGTTTCGTGGTCGGTCACCTCGTTCATCTCTGGAACTCAAGCTCCTGCAGCAGTATAAAGATGTTTCCAACAAAGTGAGAGATGTCAAAGCTTGCCATAAAATGTTCTTGGAATATTGCTGGGGATTTTCCTTCTATGGGTAGGTTTTTTAATATTAATATTAAATAAATTTACGCATATAATACATGTGCTAGTTGTTATTGGCACTGATCATGTTTTAAATAAAATAAAATAAAAGACTTTATTTAACCTGAAAGGCCAATCAGTGATCACTGGATCACTGG